CAAAGACAGTGGTGTATAGAACTAGAGGTTAGCACTGGACCTGAAAAGGGCTCCTTCTGTATGTAACCTCATGAATCTGATTCTCTAGGGCCCCCGAAAAGGTGGTTGGGGTCACTTATTTTCTCATACACGGTTTTGCTATTATAATGGTGGGGTAAAGCTGCTCAACCCAGGGGAAGGGGGGGGGGATCACCCCCAACATGGGTGTGGGTGAGACAGGCCTATATATCAGTCTGCATCTGAGATTGAATTTTCTGGGGGAGGGGGGTTGTGGGTTCTATACCTTTTTATCTTCTTTACAGTGAGTTTTCATCCTTCTAACTTTACTTACCCCCCCCCTTTTTTTGTTTGTTGTTTGTTGTTTGGGATTCTATACCTCTTATCTTCTTTACCGTACATTTCCATTTTACATCCTTCTAAATTTACCTTCAAACCCCCTCCTTTTTTTACCTCTTTTTCTTATTGTTACCTCCCACCTCTGACAACTACCCTATGGCATATGTCAATACTTATGTATGGTCGGTGTGGAATCCAGACCGTCCATTTGTGTATCTTTCCCTCGTTTAAGGAGGGAGTCCATCACACCCCGCATCAGGAGTCTTCCTTGTCCACTTTTTAGTAGTGGTATTACTCGTCTCAAACATTAGTGCCCTTACAGGCAAAGTTCGATGGATAGCATCCTGCCAGTCATAGCACCCGGGTCACAAACCCCATCCCGCCCCCACCCAAAAGGTTGGCCACTAACTCGCTTCTCGAGGCCCATGGATAGGGAGATGAGGGGGCATGATGAAGGTAACAAACTTTGAAGCCACAGCGCGGCCTGTGTGGTGGTAGACCCGAGTACCCCTTCCCCAGCCCAAAGGATGTCCAAGGCTCCCACACACATTATAGTTCCCTACCGTGAAACTCTACTGACCCCTGTATAATTTACTGTACCCAGTCTACCGACAGCTTCTCTGATCTCCTGCATCCTGCCACCTAGGATCTTCCTGGCCTCCCTCCAATCGACAGCTGTGCAGGAATTGGTACTCCCAGGCCTCTGAGGAACTTCTGGTATCACCACATGCCTCCCTCCCTAAAGGCCAACAATTAGCAAGCCCCAGGCATAGCAGACTCCAGCTCTCTCAGGGCCTCTGTGACGGCCTCCACTCTCCTCCTGCAGCGCTGGGGCTAAATCTTGATATAGCTGTAGTGTCAATTCCCTTGTAGCAAATCTTCTCTTCCCTGCTCCTCCAGATCAGTGCTGGCTTTTGTCTTCCTGTGTAGTCTTAGAATATTCCTCTTAGAGCAATTAGCGTGAGTCTTCAATTGCCAGCTCCAGTCAAGCACTGGCTTCCAGCTTTTGCACATGGGGTGTCACGGTTCACGCTTTATGACATCCAGTCTGCCAGACGTGGTCGCCCGAAGCATCCGGAGGGGATCTGAATCCAAGTGCCGTTCTACAATCGTGATCCTGCTATCTTCCCTCTGGAGCCATTTCTGTGAATTTGGATAACTCCTGTTTATCTTTGTATTGCCTGCAGCACTAGGGGCTGGACTCTCACCAAAGGCTCGGGATCTGTCAGTAACTCTCCAGCTGAATCTGATACCTACTACCGAACAAGGTATAAAAGCCTGCCTCACCCTGGGAGGGGTGTCAGTTCATTGACTCTGGTTCCCTTGTTTGGTTCCTGTTACTCCGTACCTGCGTTCCAGTGATTCTTGTCTAATTCCGGCTTCTGACCTTGGCTTTCCTCCTGGACTACTATGACCTCTGGCTTCCCTGATTTTGGCTTCCCTTGACCACGCTTCTGCTAATCCCTGCTGTACTGAGACTTGGAGCACTTTTCCTGGAAAGCCCCCGTGCACAGACTCACAGGCCAGGTGGCGTCTTATCTGGTCACCCTGGTCTGTGTCTACTTTGCAAGGGTGAGCGTATAACTCTGCGAGCTGGACTCCCTATCAGGTAAGACTCCGTTACAGTGGGTCACAACTGTGTTATGTGCCCGGGTAGTGTCTTCCAAGCGGTCCTCTAGTTTGGAGGTTCTGGTACCCAATGCAGAGATCTCGGTGCACAGGACAGATGTGGAGCGCTCTATCTCCCCTGCCAGGTAAGTTTGCACTTTGCGTAATTTAGATAGGATCTGAGCAGCTTCTCCCGTCATGGGGCTCGAGGTCCCCGCCGCGCATGGTGAGGAGGATCGCGACGAGAGGCCCGCTCCGGCGCCATCTTGACTCTCTGGAGGTCCAGTCTTCTGGACAGTAAGCATGTCCAGTACAATTGTCCGGGTGTCCGGTCCTTCTGTTTTGTTTTTTTTAGCACTCTTTTTATCCATTTTCGTTCAGAGTAGAAAGTTGAAAAGTGTGATTTTGTAGGTTAAATACAGTGCTTGGGGAACGAAGCTCTACTCCAGAGCGTCCAGCTCGTTCCCTGGTCATGCCACGCCCCTCCTTGATGGCCTTTTTATCTTGGTCTTTTTCAGATCTTTTTGGATTGGGAAGCTCATTAGTGCTAATCGGTTAGGTAAATACCGTGGTCGCAGGGGTCGCAGTAGCGACAGGGCCCATCACTCCAGGGGGCCCGGCCACACTGTGCACCCCTCAGACAACCCCAGCCCACATGGCAAACCGCCGGGGTCGCCGTCCAAGGAGTCCATCGGGGGGCCCATGTGTTAGGGCCACTTGATGGAGGTGGATTGTCAGGGGGCCCGGTCAGCGCTGGGCACTTTAACAGCGCGACCCGGCACCCTGTGATGACATCACTGCTTGGAGAAAGTGACTGCCCCGGTCATTCCTCCCAGCTATCAGACAGAGCCCGGGCGGGAGGAAGCAGAAGAGGGAGTCAGAGTAGGAACTCTGACTTCTATCAACCTGAGCCACCACTAGACCCCAGGGAAAGTCACCCTCCTGCACCTAAAAGGTAGGAAACAGGAGGGTGACTTAAACATTTTGTGTTTGTTTGTATGTGTGTGTGTCTGTTGTGTGTCTGTGTGTATGTTTGTATGTGTGCCTGTCTGTCTGCCTTTCTGTTTGTATGTATGTGTATCGTGTGTGTGTGTGTGTCTGTCTGTGTGTGTGTCTGTCTCTCTGTCTCTCTGTGTGTCTGTATGTATGTGGGCCTGTCTGTTTGTATGTATGTGTCTTTGCATGTGTGTGTGCCTGTCTGTATGTATGTGTCTTTGTATGTGTGTCAGTATGTTTGTGTGTGTGTGTGCCTGTCTGTTTGTATATATGTGTGTCTTGTGTGTTTATGTGCCTGTGTGTGCCTGTGTGTGTGTGTGTGTGTGTGTGTGCCTCTATGTATGTATGTATGTGTGTGTGTGTGTGTGTGTGTGTGCCTCTATGTATGTATGTATGTGTGTGTCTGTATGTGTGTGTGTCTGTCAGAGAGGGTGTGGGGGGGAAGAGGAAGGAACAGGGAGGAAGGGGGAGGGGGGCCAACAGATCTGTTTCGCAACAGGGCCCCATGGATTGTGTGTACACCACTGCAGGGGGACATTCAGTTTGCGCATGTCCACCTGACTGCTGATAGGATGGTCATTCACCTGGCCCAGTCTAAGACTGATGTCCATGGAAAGGGTAAGGATATAGTGTTGTCTGCTCTTCAGGGATCGCCATTGTGTTACTAAGACGCCACAGTATCTGGCTAGGCAGCTGGCAGTGGAGGGCTCCTTTTTGGTGCATCAGGAAGGTTCCTCATTTTTCTGGTTTCAGCTTTCCAGGGTTTTTCAGCTGGGTTGAAGAGAATGGGGTTACATTCAAGTTTTCGCATATAGGAAGTTATAGAGGTGTCGTGGTTGGGTTTTAGTGACAAACTGGTTATGAAGATTGGGGGTGGGAATTGGTTTGGTTCCGTTTCTACAAGCACCTCGGGAAGCTTGTTTAAGGGTTGCTATGTTCAGGAGTTGTGCTTGGATTGTGGGTCATTCCTTTGTTTTCTGGGAAAAGCTAATTTTCGTGGTCAGCAGCTGGGCTTTCCTAAGGACCAGATTACGATTAAATGGTTTGGTTACCGGGGCTATAGTTGGAGGGATGTCTGTGGCAAGGTGTTCATCTTAGTTTCTGAGCCCTTACCATGGTTATTTAAGTACATTTGCTGGCACTTTAATTGTTTATTGTTATGATGGTAATCAGTGTTGGTTATATTGTTAATGTTATTGTTTATGGATATGGGTCATTGCCTTTTGATGACAATTTGTGATATGTTATATTGTATGGTGGGGTTGGGGCAATGACTTTATTTATGTTAACTTATTAAAGCTGTGAACATATTTGACCCCTACACCAATAGTGTTTGTGTTTTATTGGGATGGGTTTTGCTTTGAAATGTAAATTATATTTCAGCTTCCGATAACTTAAACTTATTTATTAAACCTCTGTCAGTTAGCCACTTACCATTGTAACATTTCTGGTTATACATTTGACTTAAAGTAACACTACAGTGTCATGAATATAAATGTGTATTCCTGACACTATAGTTCTAAAATAACAGTTTAGGTGACCCACCACTGTGAAAAAAGGTTAAAGATGATTTTACTCACCTTTTTCCAGTACCACACAAATCTTCTCATGGCTGGCTCCACTACTGCTCTGCCCCCTTGGCTCAGATCATCAGACTTGAGGAAAGCATTGGGAGGCTTTCGTGCATGCACGGCAAAACAACGCACTGCGCCACTCAGCATTTTTTCATAGAGGAGTCAGTGCATCTCAGTGTTTAGCATTTCAATGCAGAACATGGAGATGCTGAACATCAGTCTGAGTGACTACCACTAGAGGTGTTCCTAGGCAATAAACACTGCCTTTTCTCTTTTTTATACATTAGAAAGCCTGCAGGGACATTAAGCTGTAGTTGTTCTGGTGGCTATAGTGTTCCTTTAAATTGCTTAAATTTCGATATAAGTAGAAAAAATTAAGCTGTTTTAAAAATTTGACAGTTGGTATGTGTATAATTTTCTCAACATAATTTCTAATCACAATATATGTATTTTGTGAGGAATCCATCTTAACGTAAAACCAGGAGCATGTCCGACTTCTATCAGGAGAGGCAGCATGGAGTGAGATCTTCTGTGGGTCCAAACGCTACAATAAAGCAGACATTTCCTCTGAAAATACCTCCCAATGAACACATGCATTGCATCTGCAATTATTTATCAGATGGCTCTGTCCAACTGAAACTAACAGATCCGATTCGCCACAGTCAAGATGGTGATGATCAGGCCACTCAGTCTTCTTCTTTGGATGGAGCTCCAGATTCTATCCACAAATACCTGGCCAAAATCGGTGAAAGAAATGGACATCTAGAGTACAGATCTGAGGAATGATGTGCTGCATATGCATATGTAGTGGATAAAGTGCAAACATTGGAGGAGAATGGCAACCAACTTAGACACAAAATAGCTGACCGTGAAGATAGGTTGTGCCACAACAATGTGCAATTTTGAGGCATCACTGATGCTGTCTCTGTGGAAGCCCTTCCAGCATACATCAAAGCGTTATGCAAAGCTTTGGTTCCATCTCTGGATGACTCAGCATCTCTACTAAGGCCTGTGTGTTTTACCGCTGGCACACCTAGAGACACGATTGTAAGATTTCACTAGGTCCACTCTAAAGATCTTCCAATCACCGCATCCAGGAAATTGAATACATACCAAGAGATTTTCATTTTTGATGACTTGTCAGCAATGACCATGGCTTGTAGACATGTGTTTTCCAACCCAACCAAGAACCTGCGCAATCACAAGATCCTTTACTGTTAAGGTTATCCCATGAAGCTGGTGGTCTGGCGCAATCATTCTTTCAATGTTATTACAGATCCAGTTGGTGGCACCAAGAAGGTCATGGATTGGGGTTTCCTGCAGTCAATGGATCAGACTCACATGCACGTTCTCCAGTGAAGAAGAAGTGGCAAGAGTGGAAGATGGCTGGATCTTTGAGCCTTGACTAAGTATTGACCCAAGCACTGTGCTGTTGTTTGGTAAAAATGCAGTGTGTTACCTTACCTTTTCCCTCAGGTTCTCTTGTCATAGTATCCAGAAGTGATATTTAGATCATTGTTTTGTTAATGGCTATCCGATGTTCTCTTTAGTTTATTATTATTTTACTTTACTTATTTAGTTCATTTTCCATCCTGTGAGATGATCTAATTATTCACATTATCTCTGATTCAAGGGCTAAGGATGAAAGGGTAATGGAGTTCTAATCTTATCTGCTTAAAGGGACAGTATTGTCACCAAAAAACCTAAGCGTAATGAAGCAGTTTTATTATATAGATCATACCCCTACAGTCTCACTGCTTAATTCTCTGCCATTTATGAGTAAAATCACTTTTTTTATGCAGTGGAGATGTGGCTAGTCCTGCATGTACAAGTGATTTAACTTCTAAATGGCAGATAATTGAGTAGTGAGGCTGCAGGGGTATGATCTATGCACCAAAACAGCTTAATTGAACTAAAGTTTACATGTATTGTGTTTCAATTTATATATTGGATTACTCCCTTTTATTTGTAATAAATCAGCACCATTATTGCATCTTGATTAGTGATGTCGCAAACCCGAAATTTTCGGTTCGCAAACGGCGAACGCGAACTTCCGCAAATGTTCGCGAACCGGGCGAACCGCCACAGACTTCAATGGGCAGGCGAATTTTAAAACACACAGGGACTCTTTCTGGCCACAATAGTGATGGAAAAGTTGTTTCAAGGGGACTAACACCTGGACTGTGGCATGCCGGAGGGGGATTCATGGCAAAACTCCCATGGAAAATTACACAGTTGATGCAGAGTCTGGTCTTAATCCATAAAGGGCAGAAATCACCTAACATTCCTAAATCACAATGGATATGGATTGACACCTGACATATGACATATTGACACCTTGACATATGGATTGACACCTGTCCTCAGAGCCCCTGATACACACTGACACAGAGCAGAATAGAGACTGTTCCTCCTACATAGGGTCACTTGGCAGATATGGATTGACACCTGTCCTCAGAGCCCCTGATACACACTGACACAGAGCAGAATAGAGACTGTTCCCCCTACATAGGGTCACTTGGCAGATATGGATTGACACCTGTCCTCAGAGACCATGATACACACTGACACAGAGCAGAATAGAGACTGTTCCTCCTACATAGGGTCACTTGGCAGATATGGATTGACACCTGTCCTCAGAGACCATGATACACACTGACACAGAGCAGAATAGAGACTGTTCCTCCTACATAGGGTCACTTGGCAGATATGGATTGACACCTGTCCTCAGAGCCCCTGATACACACTGACACAGAGCAGAATAGAGACTGTTCCTCCTACATAGGGTCACTTGGCAGATATGGATTGACACCTGTCCTCAGAGATCATGATACACACTGACACAGAGTAGAATAGAGACTGTTTCCCCTACATAGGGTCACTTGGCAGATATGGATTGACACCTGTCCTCAGAGACCATGATACACACTGACACAGAGCAGAATAGAGACTGTTCCTCCTACATAGGGTCACTTGGCAGATATGGATTGACACCTGTCCTCAGAGCCCCTGATACACACTGACACAGAGCAGAATAGAGACTGTTCCTCCTACATAGGGTCACTTGGCAGATATGGATTGACTATTCCCCCTACATACACACTATTGGATCTCGCAAAACTTACCAAGGATCTAAATCATGTTCCCGTATCGTACATGAAAAACCTACTCATACAAACGTCATTTCGTTCAAAGTGGAGAGAATGTTAAAAAAAATAATTTTTGTTCTGAGTGTGAGAAATGCTTTTCAGCCGCTTCCAATCTTAAGCATCATTTGAGGAGCCATACAGGAGAGAAACCTTATTTTTGTTCTGATTGTGGGAAATATTTCTCTCAAAGAGGCCACTTTTATATTTAATCTATAACAGTGAAAAAAGTTTTTGGTTTTTAAATGCAAGCTATTGTGACACCAGTGAGTGAGTGATGGCACTGGGCACAGTATCCACTGTGAGCCTGACACAGAAGCTGGCAGGCAGGCAACTGCAATTACATTACACAGAAAAAAAAAAAGCAGACTGATGTTCTAGCCCTAAAAAGGGCTTTTTGGGGTGCTGTCCTTTCAGCAGAGATCAGATGAGTCCTTCAGGACTGTAGTGGACACTGTATACCCTAACCTAGCTATGCATTTCACTATCTAATCAACAGCAGCTACACTTCCCCTCCTCTCACTAAGCATGCAGCTTGAGAATGAATGTAAAATGGATGCCTTCCAGTAGGTGGGAGGGTCTGCTAGGGAGGGTGTGCTGCTAATTGGCTGGAATGTGTCTGCTGACTGTGAGGTACAGGGTCAAAGTTTACTCAATGATGACGAATAGGGGGCGGATCGAACCGCGCATATGTTCTCCAGCCGTGGCGAACATGCTATGTTCGCCAGGAACTATTCGCCAGCGAACCGTTCGGTGCATCACTAATCTTGAAGTAACATGTCATATTAGTTGATCTTTACCAGCCAACATGTAATGGAAGACAGCTTTAAGCAAGTTACTATTTGTTTAAACCAATATAATTTAGCAAGCAGCTATAGGTAGCTGCAAATAACCCTAGTGACCCAAATGACAACTTTACACTTCTGTAACACACTAAATAGACAATAACAAAATGTAAATACATAAATCTCTATTTAGGACTCCTGACTACAAGTAACTGTGCATTGTAGGTGCCTAGCACAAATATATTACGTAGAAAGCCAGAACATAGTCAGTTTCGATTTAAAAAATTTGTATCTAAGGGTTGCTGCACAAGTGAACCTCCCAAAACATCTCCCTAGGATAGGGAGAAGTGTATGAGTTAATTCCTCTTCTGGCAAACAATGTACCCTCTCCCCCAAGAGTGTGTATATACTTTCTTTGATTATCTGTATTTTTTATTTTCATTTTGTGGGAAATTTCTTTACTACTATTCTGCCTCCTTGAGGATATACTAATAGTACACGTTAACGTTGTAGGTCATAGCAGACCATTACTTAACAAAACTGCACTGTTTATAAGACCATGCATGATATTTGATACAAGTCAAGTCCGAGACCCATGATACTACATTTTACTATCACGGTGGCTACTAGCACATGCAACTAAACGCTATACCATTATGGATAATTCATTTCATATTATGTCTTTGAACAGTCCACATAAAAGACGCCTTGCTTTTCAAGAAATGCATAAATCCAAGGCCGCAATAATATGTCTTTATGAGACCCATTTATGTGAACGTAACCCATGATTCCAAACTAGACAATATCCACAAGCAAATCACAAATTCTCTCCAAACAAATACAGGGATTTTTCCATATTATTCACTCTGATTGGGTCTCCAACAACACAAGCAATAAACAGATGCTTTAGAATGACTTTTGGATCTAGTGAGTTCACTAAATGGAATCCAAATGACAATTGTCTCCATTTAAGCTTCCGACTCCTCTCAAGCTAAATTTTTTAAAACAGCTTTTAAAAAAATAACACAAATAAGCGCTGGTCACATTATTGTGTGCAGAGACTTTAACAGTTCCCTAGATCCGGATATGGATATTTCATGCATAAACGGTAAACTTTCACATCCCTCAACTCTCTCCACAAGCCATAAACTATCACCCTTTCTTCATAATTACGATTTCTGCGATACATGGTGCTGTCTTTATCCTTCTGGTAAAGATTACATATTTTAATCATCAGTCTATTTGACATATTCTCACACTGACATGTGTATAATGGATAAACCTACTTTACAAAACATTTCAGGAGTTGACATAGGCCAAAGAACTTGGTCTGATCATGTGCCTATCACTATCACAGTCCGCTAGCTGTATCCAGATCACGGAAAAGCACAGAGCAAATTGAGTTTAAATTAGGCTTTTTTTGGATGACTCTAGGTATGTGCCTAAAATTATAGAAGCAGTAATTAAACACTTTGAGGGGAACAATAAGGACAAGAATCCCTTACTAGACACCTCTTAAATGCTGCCAAATCTGTCATACCAATCAGGTGGCACACGACAAACCTCATCCTCCCCCCAACCTTTGTATAGGGGGCAGATCCGGACAGACCGTGGTTATGGGTGGAGTGAATTAAAAGTGGTTTTGCTGTCCTCTTTGATTATACCCCTGACCACACCTTTGCATAGCTGATCATATATAAGACTGACTACACACAAAAGGTCTGGTGATCTCAGACAACACGGACACCCAAACCTCCTCAACAAAAATGTATACTGTCCTTTCCATTCCCACTTTTCTAGAAGCTAACTGAAATATCAACCAGAACATCCAATATGTTTTTAGAGCATTTTGTTA